CCCTCTATCGGAATACAGCGCCATCTTGTGGAAATGAAAACAAACCACGTAGACTCATGAATGTCTCTGTCAAGTATCAGCTGGATGCGACTGTCGCTTGAAAAGTTAAAGTCGAAAGTTCATTGATTTATGAGGCGGTCGAGCACAGGCAATCACCTCAGTTGAGGTGAAATTATCCACCTCTAAGCACCTTTAATTCACCTCTAAATGGGCATCGCACGGCTTTGGCAGGGGTGTTGAAAAAAAACAGGCAACCATTTCAACACCTTGTAACTGTCAAATATCGATCGCGTATCGAATTTAATTTTTTTGCTACATTTATGAAACTGTGTTTCTTCCATAGGAAACGATAAAGCGTTTTTTTTAAAACCACCCTATATATGGATAAGGAAGAGAAGGAAATTATTCGCCCTAGTCCAAGGTCCTCAGGGTGAAATTGGTCGCTGGCTTCCCCCCCCCCCCCCCCCCCCCCCCCCTTTTTTTCGTCTGCTCAGGGAAATGCTTGATTCTTCCTTTCTGTTTTTCGGAAACGGAGTAGCACGCGCTGCGGTGCAGACTTTGGTGGGAGTCCTGCCCCTTTTGGCCTTTTGGCTCCCAGTGGTACGTTAAGGAAGGAGGCTGCGAAATTATTGAATTCATAAAACATTAAATGTACTATTATGTTTTACTTATTTTAACCTGACCTGTATCAGTCCATTGTCATTGACCGTGATATCATTGGGAAACCCCTGCAAGGTTTAAATTTTGACAGCTTTCTTGCTCGGTTCTTCCTTGTTTGCGACCCTTTCTGCTCTCACCTCTGCATATTTTGCTTCTCTCAAGGTATCCAAACTTCGGGACTTCTCGTTTGCTCGATATGCGTGATCGATTGATGGAGTCTTTGTATGATCGGCAATATTAGCTTTAATCAGCAAATATAAACTCCATGTTTTCTTTTATATCGTGAAAAGAAAGTTGTTAAAGCGAGACTGATTCTATTCAAACCTTACTATTCCAGGTTCCCATTCTTGGAACTACTACGAGGATTCCCTAAACACTGGAGAGGTTTTGGTCAGACATTTCCCATGGACGGGTGAAACTGGAATATTGGATCGGTCGGCAGAAGAAAAAGTGAGTCTGACATAAGCCCCTATTAATTTGCTGTCACGAAACAGTTCACCCTATCCAAGCCTGAACGGTGTCTTCCACTTTCGCCCCCGAGACTTAGTTTGATAGTTGCTAAATTTCCCCATTTATCTCATCTAGATAAACGGAGGCAAGAATGCACAGAGGTGACTTTCCAAACGTGGATTTCGTGACTGATAACCACGTCTGCTCCGATCTTTTAAAAGGGAAGGCAAGGTTACCTCCTGGTTTCACTTTCTCACGCTGACGGATGCTTGGAGTTAATAGAAACTATAGTCCCTCGTGGATTCAGAAACATTTTCTTATAAAGCAATCATACGATGATGGTATAAAATACACAAAGTATATTGTTACGGAGGGGAACTTCGGGAGTCGGACGGCATGAGAGGTCGAAAGAACCCAAGGAACGGCCGGGAATCGAACCCCGGCCTCCTGATTGCCGGTCAGGTGTGCTACCACTACACCACCGAACCCTGCACATTCAGTCAAGCCTCTCGATGCCATCCTTATCCGTCACAATATCATGCAGCTTTAAGAAAAAAAAGTTGCATCTGAACAAATTCCTTCCAAAAGAACGGGTGGTCAAATGACACCAAATAAGAGAAGGCTGAGACATTTTTCTTAGATCAATCTCGTTTGTCAGATAAAGCTTCCGGAGACTGTCAATCTGAGCTTCCTAATCCTTGTATTTTCTTTTTCTTCCCAATCATGGTACCTCCAGCATGATCAGCCGCGATTCTACGTGCGATTGTTCCTTCTCACTCAATCAAAGCTGACGAGTTCAAGAAGTGGCTCTTCTGACACATAAATTCATTCTGGGGTGCCATCCTTCTATGCTGTTTGTATTAATAGTTCTCGACCCAACTTGACCATGGTTTGTCCAAACTTCTTTTGAGTCCGGTTCTCGCGGTTCCAGGGAGATCTAAACGCGTAACCCTCGAGGACGAGCTTCCTTCCGCTCCATGCGGTTTCTAACATATCCAACTCTTTCAGTATCCATCTTGCAAAGGGAGTTTACCTTAGCACCCCTTCTTAAGGGTTAAGGCGGAAATAGGTATCAGCCATGAAAATGACGCGTGGAAAGTCGCCCCTGTGCACTATCGCACCAACCGTGTGTAGGTCATAGTTTAATGCACATCTTGTGATGCTTGTCAATAGGAACGTGAGGGCGAGATTCCACTGGGGCGAAAGTGGAAGTAACCGCCTGAACAAATATTCAGTACAGAGAAAATGAATTATGAGAAAAGCACGAGTACAAAGCGCCGAGGTTACTCAGTCTCTAGCTTCTCATTTTGTTGTGCAGTGGAAAGGAGGCGGTGCGAAAAGTACGTTAGATCCTGTGCTTGCGACTTTTTACGGAAACTGAGAAACGGAAATGATGAAATTGCAACTGGTTATGGGTAGTTAAGCACTGAGCAGTGTTGTCTAAGAGCTTGAAATCTCAATGGAGATTTCAGAGGATTTCCGGTACTTAAGTACTGGTACATCCTCTGCATGCCTCTACCTGTCTCATCTCTTACACTCTTCCAAAACGAAACTTGGCGTCAGTGAAATGTAAGGGCATTTGCTCCTCGGAGCAAGTGAAGCTTATCGTAGAAATGAGTAAGAAGTTTGGTTGGCCAATTCGAGTAGAGTGTAGCCTTTAGTTACAGTCTCATCTGACGTCAGAAAGTCTTTCACCCCTGCGAGGGGACGCACTTATTCTCCTCTTGTCTTCCGCATTCTACCTACCCTGTCTTCCCTTCACATTTAATACGTTCGCCTCATATCTGATATCTGGATCCGATCCATTAATCCTACCTTTTACTTTTTCTGACTGATAGCTCTCCCAGAGAAATCGTCATCTGCTGTTGTAATTATCCCATTTGTGCCAATACGTTAACGGAAAAAAAAATTTCTCACAAAATGTAAAGTCAAGGCTTCTTTTACTTAATATATGCATGCAATGCTTCATTCCTTAGTCAATAAAACCACATTTCAATTATTCCGTTGTGATTTGGCGTAATCATAACTTTTTTGTTGGGCATTCCTTTTTGTGAGGTATTTCTTATGCTCATGTACAGGGTAGCCAAGAAAACAAATACTGATATGTTAGGAATGTAATATGGTACCATATTTATATCAATAATTTTAAATGAATTATATATATATGTGCCTATTGTTTATATTTCAAATTTATACACAAAATATTCATATATATATTAATTGGTGCGTCCATTGACGTTCTAAAACTAACACTTGTGGCTATTTATACTTATAATTGCTGCATGAATCATATGGTAGCATTCCATACAAATTAAACGATTTTGTTGATCCCCTTTCGGTGGTCAAGGGACATAATGACCAGCGATAGAGAAAACAAAGTACATAGAGGGCTCCACCTTTCATTCATTGTACAGTACTATATTGGCGTCCTTGTCCTTGTATTTCCGTTCCACCCTTGTTCGCCTAGTCACCGGATCCGTGAGCAGTTCACACAACTGCAAATGTTTCCTTGCACCGGTTCTCCGTTCTCGTGACTGCTTTCGGGTGCGATGCGATGTTTCCTCGTAGAAAGGGTCTAAGGCGTTGGTGACTGCGGTGATGATGGTCCTGCAGTTTATCCAAAGTGGCCGTTTTCCACTGAGTAGCTGTGGACTCACAGAACATGCGTAAAGTGAAACGATCGGGGAGCAATTGTCGCACTCAAGGATCGTATTTTGGTCTCGATCAAGACATAATCATGTTTCATTGCACATGAGCGAGGCACCAATGACAAACAAAAAGTTGAATGAGCCATCAATTTTATTTCTACTAAACCTCTGATTCAGCTGAAAAGAAACCCGACCAAATTCTCGAAGCTGGGACTAACTCCGTAAGGTCTTCCAATCTGAAATACTGCATTCACACAGGCAAATGACTGCGAGAGAGATTGGATATGCAATACGGAAGTAGGGCCTACATCCGAAAACTTTGAACACGTGGTCACTAATAGGTATGGTCACTAATTATGGAATAGGTGCGGCAATACATTTGTTTTATGAGGCTATTAGTTCAAACTTGTCTTTCTATGGTGCAGTCGATGTTGATTATTCACTGTGCCACATAAAAAAATGAATGACAATTGAGAATGAGAAGACGGATGTTGAACTTTAGACTCCGGGTGGAATTTTTGTACATTCAATAGCCCTAGAAATTCCCCATTCAAGAAACCTAGTTTGCATCCCGTTTCCCCTGAATGCAATCGCAAAAATTAAATAGTGGACTAGAAATATAAAATTGAAGCAGTAGTAATGCATGGGACCCCATATTCCGAATCACTCCTTGCAGAAAAATATGAAATGAGTGAAGCTTTCCTCTGCCTCTCTCTCCTGGATCGGTTTCATCGGTGCTCGGAGTATCACAACGTTTTTTCGAGGTGACCCATTGCCTATTTCTGAGGAAGTCTTATCTAAGAAACTTATCTGCGAGAACACGAATATATTTTGGTTAGGTTAGGTATTAGGTATAGGTTATTTAGGTTAGGTATGTTGCATTATAGAATATGAAGAGAATCCCCTGTAGGAGAAAGTTAAGAAAGGAGAAAAATAAAAGATATCTATGAAATGTTATTTACGTGTTCTTGATCAAGTTCGGTCCAATTTTGTGTCCCATTTTGCAAATGTTGCCATTGGCAACCTGTCAACATTAGAATTTGCAAAACTAAGACCTGCTTCTCTCTACTATACCGCACCGTATCAAGATGTAGTAGTTTAGCACTGTCGCAATTTTCCCCACCTTTCTTTCATGACTTCTGCAAAAATGTAATACTGTTGTATTTACTGCTGTATTTAGACAAGGAGGCTCATCAACGCATACTAAAGATACTAAAGTAAAGCCATATGAGACAGTGTATGGGGTGCATTTGAATCAACCCTGACGCCACGCCTTCTCATTCTCAAATGATAAGAATTGCCCCTGACGTGGATAATGCACGTGTGCGACGGGGTGGAGCGAGGCCATGGCCCTACTGTAGGCATCGGGCCCAGGAGAGACGGGAAAGCCGCGTCGCTTTCCCGGGTTCGCCTCAGATGGATCCGGATTCCCGTGTCCTCTCCAAGCTTTCTCCAATTCGCTTTCTCTTGAATCTTTTCCGAAGAAATGCCGGATGATGTCGATGATGAGAACGACGATGAATTCCACGACCTCGATGAGCATCACGACGCACATTCCCAAGTATATTCCGAATACCCCACCTAGGTTGCTCACCAATCCATTCAACTAACAGGAATGAAGACAAAGCATTTTAACGATTTCTCTTCGTTATTTTATCCATGTTTGGCAATGTTTCTTACATCGTATTTCGGCTGTTCCTGGATGACTTGGAGATTGAGAGACCGGAAAAAGACCTCCACCTTCAGCATGTCTTTCTTAAGTTGTTCCTTTACCGCCGCGAACTGGACTGGGTCATTACGAACTGTGGCGAAGGCATCTTCGTATCCCAATTTATAAACCGCTCGTGAAAGCAGATCTTCCTGCATGAGGTCCGACAGGGTGTCATTTATTGCTTCACGTTTGTAACGAATGCAAGATGAAACTGAGACTGCTCACGAAATAGTTATCCGACGGCCAATAGGATGTGGACAAGGCGATTTCGTATGCGGTTTCCCTAGAGATATTATGAAACAGATTTCGTCAGTGTCCTTTTTCTAATGTTTGAATTGGGAAGTTTATAAGAAAGCAACAATTAACTAGAATTGATTGGAGAGCGCAAATGAGACTGATTACGAAAGGCAAAATGTCGATTTCAACATTATTTTTGTTGATTGGCATATAAATACTGGGTGGCGTGAAGAAATCCCGAGTCCTATTTGAGACAATATAAAGCCTACTGTAGAAATGCAAGATTTTTTTTTGGTATCACAGGGAACAAAAATCTGAACTATTTTCCATGAAAGCTTGCGGTTATTTGCGTCAAGAGTTGTTGAAACATATTACATAAGTTATGGCCGTTTAATTAAAAAGATGTTTTCTAGACATTTAAATTACAATCTCCGCCGGAATTAAACCATATAAATGGATTTAAATCCCACGTTCATGAAGAGATTAAGCATCAAACGGGATGCGTTCATTGTTCCACCCGATATAATGCTCCAACTACACGTAATAAGGAACTTTCTCTGCACCAGATATGAGGCGTAGAGAGCAATTCCTTTTTTCTAATTGTTTTGAGATTTGTATTACTTCCCCCCTTATTGCCATTTGTTTTAATCTTGAAGCCTTGCTAAGCCAATGGAAAAGGCTGAAATGACTCACTGGCAGGAAGGACTGCAAACGGGCGGCTTCGTTTGAAGACGCATTCCCTCGCTCACGATGCACTTCTGTTCTTCGGCTGGAAAATTCGTCCGCTAATGAGAACATAACAAGATACGCGGAGATTTTTTGCTTGGAGATCTCACCTCCGATGCTGATGTTGCACATGGGATAGCCCAGGTACGATACTCCATTGTGAAGGAAATTGTCCTGGATTTCAGGATTGAGACAGTGGCAATTCTTCGCGATCTCCGCCGTTTCTCTCAGTCGCTCGCATTGCTACGCAGAACCATTCCGTGCGTTTTAATAATGAATCATATTGAAACGAGAGGATTTTCCAGGAGGAACCGGTGGGAAAATATCGTTAACTTTTAAATGTGGTGCCGAGCTCTTGCAGGGTAGTGTAACAAAGGGTAACTTTGAGCTGACTCACGACTAGACTGTAGTCGAGGGTGGCATTTGGATTATCCATAGAGAAGGGTTTGTAGTCTGTTTGATTCCAGTCCGAGAAACAATCTGTGCTGTAGGGACTCTCCAATCTGGAAATGTCCACCTGAAATTATGGCGATATTTGAGATTAATGGAAACCTACCGAGAGGAAAACCATACAGACGCACTGCATGCTGCTGAGATCCTTACAGCTTGCAAGGCGAAAACATTGCGAGTGTTGGGTTGAACGAGATATCCTTGTTCCACTGGATTCGGCCATTCGTTTGGGGAATGAATGGTGACTCGGGCTCCAACACTCGATGCTGTTGGATTCTTGATGTAACTTATCTGATCCAGGTATAATTCCAGTGATAACCCTGTTCGCGAAAAAAACGAAGAAATTCGCTTAAAATCCTCATAATGGAATGACGGGGAGAGGAAGCCTAATTATTTTTTAACCTGATTCTTCTCCGGTTTTGCTCGAGATCCTCTTTCCTCCACTTGAATCTTTTGAATTCCAGGCTGTGTTGAACATGAAGCAAGTCCCGTACTGAGGGATCAGCATCACTTGGAAATTACTGCAAGGAAAAATTAATCAATGGAGAATCCCGTTTGAGTTTGAGTTCCCCAATGGAACCGTCAGTGAACATTAATAACAAATGCCTGATCTTGATTTCGTAATTCGTTAGGTAGGTAGCACAATTGATTAAAAACTTTGCGTTCGAAAAGGGGTGGAATATTTAAGTTTCAGTCATTTATCGGCTCAATCGGGCGATGGTATGATGGTTCATCGTTACTTGCTACGATCGCGTTGGGTAATGAAGTCGATTAATAGTTAGGCATATAGTGCGGCTATATTAAGTGATATAGATGCATCGTGACGGCCCAACTCCTCTCTTGCTAATGATTTTTTGTTGTGGCGCGTTCGGGATTATTTACCGCTTGGTATGTTATACTTCGTGCATCGGCAGCTTACAAACCTACCGATGGCTGTTGGCGCCGATGGTACCGTACTGACTGGCTATACGGGTGGTGGCTGATATAACGGTACAACTCTAATATAGGGTATATAAAAATGATTAGAAATGGCTCACTCATCCTGCAAGCAGTCGCGACCTTGAAAGGTGCACTTCCAAAGGAACCTTTCCCGCGAATTCACTAACTTCCGCTTTAGAGTCTCATCCACGTTGGAGAAGGCTCCCAGCAGCTTCACATACTACGCCCACGAAATTCTCAGTCACGTATTATACTGGTAAGTATGGCATACAATTCAATTTGTAATTGACATCATGGGTAGAACTCTCACATTCAAGTAATCTTCTGTTGCGACTGAGATGTCCTCCACTCCAAATCCATGTAGTCCGTCCTGATTAGCAACAGGACTACTTGTTGTGCTTTGGAGCGTGGCAGCTCTCTTCCTCTGAATGAAAGGACACGTTGACTGGAGTTGTTCGGATGAGGAGTTTTATGCAGTTCGTGTAAAGCAATAGAACTTACCCTTTGCTGAGAAGTCTGATTACTCGCATTTTCACTGCTAGCATTCAGTGTGGTGGTCGATAGGCTAGCTGCTGTAGTGCTACTCTGGGGTGAGCTGGACTGGATACTCCCTGGATCATTATTTTAAAAATAACATGACAGTTCTAAAGAGATTTTACTTGAAAATTCTCCAGACAATAAAACGTATAAACGTACTAATCAAGTATGCCATGAGTATATCAAAGGCCCTGCTGCCGTTCCTAGCCTTGAACTCCACTGGAGCCACATATAATAGGCTCTTGAGAAGACCATCCAATCGAGATTGCTTGTTCGTTCCAGACATCAAGTCTAGGAGTGACGAATTTTCCGTGTATGAGTTGCCTTGATCCACTACAGTAAGTGCCAATTCCGTTGTATTCACCGTCTCTTGCAAATACCTACGAAATTTCAGCATTCGTATTGATCATGAATCCCCCTGCAAATTTTCACTGCTTGCTGAAGAGCCCCTTGATGCTGATTATCAGGACAAAAATTGTAGACCCAGTCCTCCACAACTGACCGTAGCCTATGCTAAAAAGTGTAAGATCACAACATCAGATAGTTACCCATCGATTGCGTTCTTGAGTTTTTCGCGATCCAAATACGGTGAGAGAAGCCAAAAGACGGGACTGAGCATGAAGTCCTCAACCGTGCACCCGGATACATTCCATAACTCGGGTAGCAGGTCCCGGAGCTGAGTCAGTTTGTAGCAGACGATGGGATTAGAGTTGCAGACGGTGACGGCAGGGAAAACCATCTTTCGTGCGTGGCTCATGGATACGTATGTGATGACAGGGTAGGAGAGGTAATCCGCCACTACCAGGTGCACGGAATACACCGTCAGAGCCGCCCCGGCAAGGAACACCGCCATCCAAATCTAATACAAAAGTCATACACGATTTTTAGCACCTCTCTGTTACGCGCCCTTGAAGCGTCCTACCTATTGGACATATGGACTACGAAGTCTACCTTCTTGACATCAACATCTAGCCATACTTCAGGTGTCCACCAGGGAGTAGACTTGGTGTTACCTGCGGGCCACTCCGATTCGCTTTTCGCTGCATTATTTCACCGTTGGGCCGAAAAGTCCGATCGAAATAAATTCCATTCTGTCTCTAGAGCAGCTAAGCATTTGGGAATAATTTTCGCAGATCGTCCATGCCAACTCTCCGAGTTTTCTTATCTTAAGGCTTCCTACCTCACCCATTTTGCAACGTGTTAGTTTTTCGTCTCGTTCCGAGGTTCGCCTTTATCCTGAGTTTGGTCGTTGCTCAGTTCGGCCCCTCGAGTAACCTTTACTAGTCAGCCTAGCTCCCTCGTTTTCAACTCGCACATTGAAGTCCCCATTAGTAAGACGAAGTCACTGTTCGGGATCCCTGATAGGACCCTATTCACTTCTTCGAGGAACGCGTTGAAGTCTGACTCGCTGTTCGATCCATGAACCTGGACGACAGGTACCACACTACTCCAGGGAACTGTGAATGCTATAAGCGACTTTGCAAAGTTGAGATATCATTCAGCAGGCTCCATTGAAATTGATATTTCTCAAGACTTCGATTTCTTACAAGTAGCAACAAGAGTGAACCACAAACGACAGCTTAAAAAAATGTCGGAGTACAAGTCGGAATCACGGTCATACAATTGATGGGTGTCGAACAAAACGCTGCTTCGTATGTCTGGATGATCCTATGTGAAATGCACTACTTACCGCTTTAAGAAGGGGACTTTTGTGTCGCCTGGCATTGGCGAGTCCCGGGACAGCGGTAGATTGCCAGAAATTTTGGAAACTCCCTCTGACGGTTTTCCACAGGGACTTCCTTGGCCTGAGTCCTCTCAAGGGGAAATTTCCACCGTATCCACTCATCGCTGAGATCTCTTTCGGACCCACCCTCGTCTCCATTCAGGACACAGGACACATAATAGGTATATTGCAGGATGAAGAGAAGACTTCTTACCAGGGTCCAATATTCCTGGTAATGGTTATGAGGTATTCCTATAACACACTACCATCCGCGCCGAACACTTGCCGCCTTGGACTCATCAATGCGACCTTCCTTTCTGAGGCACTCATAGATATGCATTGGAAAGATCATTAAGGGCGTTTCACACTCACCCGATGCCTCGACCAATAATTCCTCTGCCCGAAGGGCGTTTCACAATTTGCGTGTCATGAGTCGTGTCAATGTTTGGGATGGTAGGCCGACGCACGCATGTCCACCTACATCGAAGGTTTTCACAAAACACATGGGTTACATTTTCATTTGAACTCATCCCATTATTACATTCTGCTTCGTGAAAACCTTTGGATGTTAGTGGACATGCGTGTGAACGCGCGCGTCAGCATACCAGCCAAGCATTGACGCAAAAGACGCACGACACGCAAATTATGAAACGCCCTTCAGAATAGGCAGAGAGGAATTATTGGTCGAGGCATCGGATACATGCTTGGGTTGAGGTGGTGCGTCAGGCTTGTTGCGTAAACTCTCCACCCAAAACGCAAACTGCCCCCTCCCCCTTTCTCCTCCCCCTCCCTCTCCTCTTCTGTACAGGACTCACTAATTTTAGGTCTGTCTATATAGAGTATCTAAGAGGAAGGCCTCCCCCACGGGGAGACGGCGAGTCCATCCAGACTCCCCCCGCCAGCTCAGGACTGAAGTCACACGAGGGAATTATTGGGTTGGAAAGAAAGTCTTGCAACACTTTCTAAAACTATTTCTAAAAATTTTCAATGGAATGATGGGCATTTGTATATGCTGGAATGTTCTCGAAGCTTCTGCCCTCGGGGTATATAAGGCGGCTTCTGCCATTAGTTTGCAGCCATGGCTCCGATCGAACGAGCAACTCTTCGCCCCATCGTCTACTACGAGTTCCTCCAAGGACACTCTGCGAGAGCCGCCGCGGACAACATCTGCGCTGCATTCGAGGGCAACGTCGTCCACTATTCCACGGTGTCTCGATGGTTCAAACGCTTGGAATCTGGCGACACGACCTTCGGAGATCGACCACGCTCAGGACGTNAACCCTTTCAGTGCCGCCTCGAGTAAATTTCAAGCGGCTGCGCACTGTCAACATTAGCACGGCAGGCAGCTGCAAGTATTAAAGTAGGGGTGTGAGTATTATTATTTACAATCCATCCACAATAATCTCTTCTCACTTGATGTCATCACAAAGTTGTTACGCAAGAAGGGAAACGTTTACACGACGTTGTGAGATAATGTTGTGACAATATAAAATAAAATACATTTAGTTTTAACAACGTTGTCTACAACTTAGTCACAACATATCATATGTTGTGGTACAGCATTTCGACAACGTTGTGACAACATATGTGCGTCACCTGGGTAGTTGCATTGTAGACTGAAATTGTATTTCAATAAAGTTATAACAATTTGAAAAATTTGCGCAGAGTGTTGCAAGACTTTTTTTCCGACCTAATAATAGGGTCAACCATCGGTGTTTACTAGAAAGTTGCTCTTTTTTGGATCTGATGTGACAATCTGACTCTTCATTCCACTTTACCGTGAACTAAACAAACTGGTCAGTATCGTATTGAGGGGGCTGTGCCTGCACAGGGCGCCGATTGGCCACAAAATCAGTACAAAATATTAATTAAGGTGGTAAATTAACCTGAAATTAACACAATTAAGCATAGAAATTAAAAATGTATTGTTGATGCTGGGGAAGCTAGAGAGGTTTAGAGGGGGAGGCACTGGATTGATTGGCACAGAGAGTAAAAAATCCTCGGTTCCTCCCTGGCTCTGCCCACTGACGTTGTGACAGCGTTGTTCTAAAGCAATAATATTGTGCTAGCGTAGTATGCTGTCACCCTGATATTTTGACAATGTTGTTATGATGCCTTCGCCACAACATTAGACAAATAATTAAATGTCGCAGAAAAAGAACATGATTATAAATTCGCAAGAAATAATTGCGATGAAGCTATTATATTTTCGGGGCCTCTGAAAATATAATAATTACCGCAACATATGGAATGCTGTGGCTACATCGTATAAAACATTGTTACACATTTGAATGTCCTTTTATGCGATGCTGTAGCAAAATTTTCCTATCAGGTTGTGACAACGAATTCTTTCTGGCGTTAGCAACGTTTTGACAATGTTTGCGAAGTATCAATAATCCCTCACCATCTAATCGGTGCCATATGGCATCTGAACGCTGCTCAAACAAATCTTCCTTTCATGTACCGGAAATGAGTTCCCAATATGTTTATTTCGGTACCTGGTCTTTCCCCACATAAAACTTGGGGAAATGTTTTGGAATTCCTGGATAGACCGGTTTAGGTGAGTTACACGGCGGAAGATGACCCCAGGTACTTTTTGCATTCGCGTCGAAGGAAACATGGCTAAAAGTCCTAATTCACTCCATGGCGGAAAATGTCTTCCAAGCACTGATTTAATCCAGAGAAGGTAAAGGAGCATAAATCGTACTGAGGGGCTGCCTCTCGATTTCTTTGGGGAAAAAGTGAGTATATCATAAGGTGATTAACCCTTTCAGTGCCGCCTCGAGTAAATTTCAAGCGGCTGCGCACTGTCAACATTAGCACGGCAGGCAGCTGCAAGTATTAAAGTAGGGGTGTGAGTATTATTATTTACAATCCATCCACAATAATCTCTTCTCACTTGATGTCATCACAAAGTTGTTACGCAAGAAGGGAAACGTTTACACGACGTTGTGAGATAATGTTGTGACAATATAAAATAAAATACATTTAGTTTTAACAACGTTGTCTACAACTTAGTCACAACATATCATATGTTGTGGTACAGCATTTCGACAACGTTGTGACAACATATGTGCGTCACCTGGGTAGTTGCATAGGTAATCTGAAAGACAGTTCAAACTTGGCTGCTAGCCCACGCAAGTCACTTTCAGTCCTCAGACGAGAGATGAACTTGCTTCCTACATTCTCGTTGGAATATGATCAAGTCACGCAGGTATTTGATAGCAGATGTACTTTGGATCTTCATCCTTGCTGGATAAGTCAGGATGTCATACGTTGCTAAACAGAGATTTCACTGCAAAAGTCTGTGGTTTGTTTTTGCACGACATCGGTAAAGGGGCACTCATTCCCATATTCCGCCATGCCATCCTATATATTGCGAGGTCGTTTCCTCCTTCCCTGAATTTCGTGAAACTGAAACAGGCGTAGGGGCTCCCATCCAAAAATTGGTTACGGAAAAAAATCAGATCTCAGCACACACGATGGAATCTCGATTGTGGCGGTTTGGGGATCACCATCTCCCATAGTTCTTGCTATGAACACCAGTGCTGATCTAGTCTACTTCATGAATAGGAGCCTAAGCCTTTATTTATAGCTATAATATTATTTGCACAATAGCTAGTGCGAGACTGCTCCTCCTCATGCATGGGGCTTCATAATCGTCATACTCTATTACAGAAATTCTGATAATAGTGTTTTTTGTTGATGCCTTGGTAGCGATGGTAACATTTATCGAGCTTTCTTCTTTCCTTCAAGCCACTTCACTAGTGTCTAGACTCTAGAGCGACAAGATGAGACCTCTGGAGGTAATTTTGACAAGTTGTCAGGGTGTTTGATCAATGGAGGACAATTTGGATGCATGTATCAGCCTCATACATCAAGTTGATGCATGGTAAGCACCCCAAATACCCTCCATTACGCCGTCCTCTGTCTCAATTCCTTGCATAGGTTGAAATGGACGTGAGAATGAGTATGACAAATGAGACTTGTGGCTGGACGAACCATAAAGTATTCAAGAAAATTAGGGGCGTTGTCAGAAGTTCTATCACATTGGTTGGGTGTGACTTTCATTGATTAGGGAATGGGTGAGCCTTCTCCATGGTTTGCGACGGAACTGTCATTTGTTATATGATATTGCCTTTCTGCAGTGCAATCGATAGCATTTATTCAAGAACATTTCGGAACAATCAAGACTGAAAGGAACCAAAGCACAAATCGCATCGCCACGCGCCAGTGAATTACTCCTTGGGTGGGATTTTTGAGATCCTACGTTGAAAGAAACTCTTTTTGCTTCCACAAGAATGCAATCACAGAAAGTTGAATGACTAGGAGTCTACAAGTGGACTAGGAATCTAGAACAGTGGTTTTCAGTCAACTCTACCAGCAACAACCGTACAGGCAGTCGAGCGTTTGTCTGCTAAAACACCGTGAAATCGTAATCAATCCTCAGCTCATCTATGCAGGTA